CAGTGCAGCTGCTGTACTAAAACTAAAGCATTTTTACCTTTCTCTGGAAAGTCCCATCAAGAGCAGCAACAATGATGGTTTTCCCAGCGTTGGCCATCTTTTCACAGAACTCCACAATGTCTGGGAACTACAAGAGGTACAGAAACAGCAGCTTCAGGAGGAAGAAGGAGCAATGCTCTGCTCCAGGTCTAGCAGTGCACACCCCAGGCCACACACTTACAAACTGCCCTTCATCGATGCCAATGACTGCAGAGCCCAGAGCCTCCTGGTACACATCCTTAAGGGCACAGGCAGGGCGGGCCTCCATAGTGTTCCTGAAGGGGAGCAGAAGGAGAGGATGAGCCAGGCAGCCCAGCCACAGGTCCACGGGCACAGATCCTCCTGCCCATAGCCCACCTGTCATGTGTGGAGACGCCGGTGGTGCAGTAGCGGGTGTCCTTGGCGTATTTCACCAGCAGACACCGGTACTGAGCGAGCTGGAAGCGCCGCACGCGCCGCATGAGCTCTGTGCTGCGAGAGCAGGAGTCAGCAGACCCAGCCACAGCCTGCTGCAGCCCAGCACATCCCATCCCGCCCCGCCTTACCTCTTCCCAGAGAACATGGGGCCGAAGATCACCTGGAGACAGAGCCACACGGTCAGTGATGAGGTGCCGGACCGCCATCGCCCCGCTGCAGCGCTTCAGCCCCCACCCGGCCCGGCACGGCCGCCCCGTCACCCCGCACAGCCGCGGCACCGAACCATCCCCCGGCCCGGCCCTCCATTACCGGTGCCGCGCAGCCCCGGGACTCGGCATCCCCTCGCAGCGGACCCGGCCCCACCAATCCCGGCTCCGCCCGCACCCAGCGGCCCCGCCCCGACCGGTACCTGGATCTGCCCACGCGGGCGGCTGGGTGAGCCGGGATGCACGCCGGGCACGGTCAGACAGCTCATGGCCGCGCAGCTGTTCACAGACCGACCGACCGACCGACTGACCGACCGACTCACAGCCCGCGCGCGCGCCGCCGGACCGGCCAATCCGCGACAGCCTCGCGCCCATGGATCGCCGCCGCCGGCCAATCCGAGCAGAGTTATCCCCGCAGCGCCGACCAATCCGGGCGCAGGCGGGAGAATTCTCATTTCTCGCCGCGCTTCCGCAGAGCGAGCTGCTTTCCCGGCGTGCCCCGCGCGAGGCTCTGGCGTCATCGCTTCGTCCACTGGGTCAGAGGCCTCAGCTCGGCCCCGCTGCCCGGCCTGACCCGACACCCGGCGGCCAATGGCCGAGGGGCGGCCCCGCCCAGTGCCCCGACCCGGCCCGGCCGCCAGCGGCAGCGGAGCTGGGTGGTTGAAGAGAAGATGGGACGGTGGCAGGACATGGATCTGGAGGTGCGGGGCGCGGGGTCTGGCAGGGCTGAAGCCTCCTCCGGTGCCCCGGGTCCGGCCGCCCCCTCCATGCAACCCCGCGTCCGTGTGCCCGCAGGAGCTGGAGGAGCAATACTCGCCCAGCCGCTGGTCCCGTCGTATGGACAGCGAGAGCGTCATCCGGGCCCACATCGATGTGATGACCGCAGGTGGGGGGGCGCGGCCGGGCCCGGCGGGCGGCACCGAAGTGGGCACGGCCCCAACCCGGGCCTGCAGAGCTCAGCACGGAGCTGCGGTGCTGCGTACGGCCTGCGGGCTGATTCTCCCCCGGCCCCACAGGAACGCAAAAGGCCCAGGCTGCTTCACAGACCTCGCTGCATGTCCCCTATGGAGATGGGGATGGGGAGAAGCTCGACATTTATTTTCCTGCGGACTCTAAAGAAAGTAGGTGGTGAGCGTGGTGACTGGGGGGTGAGGTCATGTCTGTGTGCTTACCTGTGCTGTGCTGTGCAGCTTTCCCGGTCTTTGTCTACATCCATGGTGGATACTGGCAGTGCTTGAGGTAAGACAGACTTCTGATATGGGCTCCCTTGAGAAGGGAGCTCCCAGGCCTCCTTTACATCTTCCTTCTCTAGAGAACAACACTAAACCCAGACTTTGGTATCCTGGACCCAATGGCCATCCCAGCCAGCTCCATGAGGACATCTATCTGTCCCCTGGAGCTCGGCAGCTTCTCTCTCTCCGCCCCCCCACAGTAAGGACGCATCAGGTTTCGCAGCCCCTGCGCTGCTGTCGCAGGGCATTGCAGTGGTGGCCATGGGTTACGACATCGCTCCCAAAGGTATGCAGGGCCCAACGGGGGGGCATGACTTCCCCCGATGGCCTGGTGCCCATCTGGCTCTGCACTCTGCTCAGGTCACATGGATGCAATGGTGCTCCAGGTGCGGCGCAGCCTTGCCTTCCTGGTGAAGCAATACCACAGGATCAGGTGGGCAGCATGCAGTGCCTGGTGTCCCTGTTTCCTGTGCCAGCAGCCTCTACTGCTTCTGTCTGGTCTCAGGCAGATTGTGTCCCTGTTGCTCCCTGGGTGGATTATTGCATGGGGGTGGCTGTGACAGAAACAGAGTGGGGAAGCCCTGAGTTATGATAAAGACCTCAGTGCCTTGGTGCAGCACCACTGACTGCAATCCTTTCTCACTGTACAATGGTTCAGTTGGTGGACTGGGAAATATGGCCACTCTGCAGCTCCTGGGGCACTGCAACTGGGATGTCCCCAGCATGTGACACGCTCTTTCTTCATGCTTATGGCTCTTTCTCTCTAGGGGTATTTACTTGTGTGGGCACTCGGCAGGGGCTCACCTGGCAGCCATGGTCTTGTCCACAGACTGGACAGAATTTGGAGTGGTTCCAGATATCAGAGGTAGAGCCTTTAGAGACCCCTGTTCTGGAGGGCTGGTGTTCAGCACCAGGGGGCTGCACCCGGGCATCTTCCGCTTTACTGTTCTGCAATCTGTTAAGCTGATCACTTGCTTCAGCTGGTTGCATCTTGCACATCCTGGGGGAAGAAGAATCTGAGCTCCTGGTGCAGCCCAGCAGCCTCCCTCTATTGCTCTAGAGCCATGGGGACTTAGGCATGAGGAGGCCTGAACTGCAGAGCCACTCACCCACCACATCTGTGTTTGCAGGAGCTGTTCTGGTGAGCGGTGTGTATGACCTGGAGCCCCTTCTGCACACCTACGTGAATGATGCACTGAACATGAGCCTGTGAGTCCGTCTGCGGTAGAGACGGCATGTGGAAAAGGGCATGGGCAGCTTGTGAGCATGTGTGGCTTTGGTCAGCACAGCCTGTGGGCAAACACCAGCAGCTCTGCAGCCTGCTCTGCCCATGCATGCAGGCCCTGCACCCTCTGTCTTGCTGGTGCATGCTGCTGAGGGTGTGGGGGTGCACACAGGCACACACACTGGCTGTCACTGCAGTGTCTCCTCCCCAGGGAAGTGGCCCAGAGGAACAGCCCCATCCTGTGTGTCACACAAGCAGTGCCTGTGGCTGCATCCTGTGAGGTGCTTGTGGCTGTGGCCCAACACGACTCCCCGGAGTTCCGCAGGCAGTCACAGGAGTACAGCCAGGTGAGCTATGCAGGGATGCTGTGTGGGCTGCCCTACTTAGACCTGCTCTGCTCCCTCTGCAAACCCTTAAGTGAAGCGGGCTCTGGCTTGGAGATTTCTGAGCTGGTAATGCAGAGCTGCAAAGAAGAGAGTGGGGCTGGCTGCACTGCTGAATCAGGACTGCCTCCTGCTTTGGGAAGGTGCCTCTTCTTGCCATTGGGCCCAGCTCTTTCTTCCAGTCAGCTCTGGTGATTAAGAGCTCACGTGCTGTATCAGAGTAGTATTTCTGCTGCTGATGTGATGACCACCCTCATCAGGGGAGAATGCTGGTCCTTGCTGAGCCGTTGCTCGTGCTGTGCTGTGGGGCCCAGCTGGGGTTCCCCCTGCCAGCACTGATCTGTCCACAGGCTCTGCGCTTAGCTGGTTGGTCTGTCTCTTTGTTGGATCTTGCCAGCGTGGATCACTTTGACATCATTGAGAAGTTGTCAGAGGAAACTTATGTCCTCACTCAGGTAAGGGGGAGAGGCTCTCTCCTGCAGCCACCACCTTTTGCTGTCCTGAGTACAGCTCAGAGCTGCCAGGCCAGGAGGGAGGGCAGTTGCAATGGGTGTTTTCCCCCAGCGTGAGGCGCTGTGGGGCCAGGCACCATTCACAGCATTCGGTTCCTCATCCCAGGTGATTCTGAACATGATTGCGAGAGCTTGATGACATGTTGGAACAAACTGGAGATGGAAACCTCAGCCCTGTGCAGTGACAGACAGCCTTCATGCACTCTGCCCTGTGCTTGTCCTTGTTTTCTCTTTCCAGCCCATTGGGGCCCCTGTGGCACACGGCAGTTACTGCTCCAAGATACCATTTTTGGTTCTGTAAGGGGCAGATGAGCCTCCACTGCTCCTTCCAGCCTGCCAGCAGCATGCCATCACAGCAGGAGAGCTCCAGTTAGCACAGGCGAGTGTCAGTGATGATATTCCTTCATTGAGGTGTTCCTGTGCTTCGTGGATGTTCTCTGAGCTGGACCATCTGTGCTGAGCAGAGCTGACTGCCTGCTGTGGGTCTGTCTGCTGACTGGATGTTGAAGTTTGTTCCTTGAAGCTGCTAATTGCCAATACAAAATAAAATAGGAATAAGTGCTGCCTGGGTGGAAATCTTGGGAACGTGTAACTGTGCTCAGCTATTGAGCATACTTAGCTGATGCATAGAGAAGCTGCTCTGGCAGAGTTTGGGTCCTGAGGAGGGCAGTTCTGTGTCAGGCAGTAGGGAGAGCACCACACAGCTCTTTGTGCACACGGGGCAGAGGGGCCCTGCAGCAACACAGCCACTGTCACGGGGTGCAACAGCAGCAGTTACAGGAGCTGCCTGCAGGCAGGCAGAGCTGTGCTTGGGACAGCCCTGGTCAGACAGGAGCTCTGCTGCTGGGAAGTAGCCCTGTTCCTGTGTCTGTGAGGCACCTGCATGTTCTCAGGAGCACTTCTCCTTCCATGGAGACCTCCAGGCCTTGGCAGCATCCGTGCTGCAGAGTAAGGGGAGGAGCATCTTTGGGGGGAAAAAAACATTCTGCATTGCCAAAAAATGTTTATTTAGACCTCAGTTGCCTCACTAGACCAGTAAGAACTGTGCTGAGCACAGAAGGCTGCAGAGAACTCTTCCTGCCCTGCTGTTCCTGTGCAGCATGACCCAGAGGCCCTGGATGCTGCTTGTCCTGCTTTGGCTGTGTGGTGTGGGCCGTGGCAGTCCCAGCTGCTGTGGGCTGAGGACTGGAGTGCTTGGGATGGTGCATGCTGGATGGAAAGTGGCCTTGGCATGGCCAGACTGGTGGTGTGAGCTGTGGGCACGTCTGGGAAAGAAATTGCCCCAGGAGGTGTGGTGCTCTTTTGGGAAGCTGTGAACTGCGGTCTCCCTAGGGTTGGGCTTGCATGCTGGCTTGCAGGGGTGGAGATGGTGCTGCAGCTGGTTGGGAACATGCCTGGAGCACGCTGTGGGAGGTCCCAGCCCCTTTGCCAGCAGCTGCCCCAGCCCACATGCTTGCCTGCTGCAGCCCAGCAGGGATGGCTCTCCCACGGGGCTGGGAGGAGGCACTCAGTGCTCTCCTGTGCCACGAGGACCGGGGCCCCGGCCCTGGGCCAGCTTCTCCTGACACTTTCTGGCCACAAAGCCCAGCTTGTTCAGAGCGAGCTCAGTGTCATGGGCTGAGACATCACAGTGCCAGACCGCACGGACAGTGCGCTCCGACCAGGGGAACAGCAGGACGCTGACAGTGCAGCCCGTCTCAGCCAGCTCCTCCTCGCTCACTGCCTGCAGGTATGTGCAGAGCTCTGCCGGGGGCAGCCCCTTCACTTCCACCATCACGATGTTCGTCTCTACAGCCGCCAGGCTGACAGAGCAAAGAGGCGAGTTCAGCTCCTGGATGCCTGTGGAGGTGCAGGCTGTCAGGCTGCTGCTCAGTGCTCCAGCAGGAGGCTGCTCAGGCACTGCCGTCCATCCGCAACAGGACCCGGCTCTGCAGCTGCGCACCGAACCTGCAGGGGAGCGAGTTTATGCTGAGGGCACCAAATGTCCCGAGGAAGCTGAGTTACCTTGAGCGAAGCGGCAGGCGTTGTCGTGGTCTCTGCGCAGCGTTTCCTCTGCCTGCTCCAATCCAACGCGGGCAGCAGCCGCCAGCACGCCCGCCTGCCTCATCCCTCCTCCCAGCAGCTTCCGCACCCTCCAGGCCTCCGCCACAAATGCCCGGCGTCCGGCAAGCACTGCCCCGGCCGGGGCACCCAGGCCCTGCAGATCCAGGAAGGTGGTGTGAGCGCTGCCCGCAGCCTGAGCACCGTGTCCCCGCCCCGGGCTCCCTGTGTGAACTCACCTTGGAGAAGCAAAGGGACACGGAGTCGCAGTGCTGGGTGATGCGGGCCGGCTCCACGGCCTGGGCCACCGCTGCATTCATCAGCCGTGCTCCATCCATGTGCACCCGCAGCCCATAGCGCTCAGCCAGCAGGCGTACCTGGGTGGGGGCGCAGCTGCTGTGAGCTGTGCTGTGCCGTGAGGACCCCCAGCCCCGCCGGCAGCTCCCACCTGCTGCAGGTAGGTGAGAGGCAGCGCCCGGCCGCCTGCTGAGCTGTGCGTGTTCTCCACGCAGATGAGCTCGGGGCGGGGGTGGTAGCGGCTGCCGTGGGCCTCACGGATGGCCAGCTCCAGCTGCTCCAGATCCAAAGTACCATCAGGAAGGTCTGACAGAGCCTGTGAGTGGACCCCTGCGACCTGCACAGGCAGCAGAGCTGGAGGGAGGTTGCCCTGCCGTCTGTTGTCCCTCAGTCTCCAGTCCATCAGCCCCAGTCGTGGCTCGGGTGATGTTGTCACTGACCCGAAGGGGACCTTCCTGCTGCCAGAGGAGGGCAGCAGCAAGCTGCTGTTTGCCCTGGGGCATCCCCTCACTTCCCCAGTAGCGCAGCACCCACCTGTGCAGCCCCGCCGTGCTCATAGACGTGCAAGTGGGCCTGGGCACCCAGCAGCAGCTGGGCCCCTCTGCGCTGGCAGTGGCACATCACTGAGGGAAGAGGGGAGCGAGCACAACGTGTGAGTGTGGGGCTGGGTGCCCCCCCCCCCGGCAGGAAGGGGGTCACTCATCTGCAGTGGGTAGAGGGAGAGTGGCCCCAGAGTGGTATTGCAGTGCCGCAGCTTTCATGTGCATGGGGCTGAGCGTGATGCAGGGTCTGCTCCTGGTGGAGGTGCAGAAGCTGCCGCTCCCCCAGCCCTGCGGCCATTAGGGTGGAAAGCATAGCAGCTTTTTGAGCAGGACCAGGACTCTCCCAGAGAGGTCTGGGACTGCTTGTACCTTCTCCATCCTTTGCTGGGGGGCCATGAACCAACCCCAGCGATGTAGGGCAGGGAGAGCAGCACTGGGTACTCACCTGCAATGAGGTTTGCCATTGTAGCCGTGGGTACAAAAAGGGCATCCTCCATTCCCAAGATCCTCGCAGCCAGCTGCTGCAGCTCTGAATAGAGGAAATGTGCAGAACAAGGGTGGGAAAAAGGTCTGCACTACAGCCATATGTGCTCCATACGTCTCCTCCCCAGCACAGCCTTTGGCTCGGCCCGGGGAGTGTGACAGTGCAGCAAGGGCTGCCTGCCGTGCGCTCACCGTTGACCGTGGGGTCTTCGCCGTAGTCGTCGTCCCCCACGGCGGCCCGGGCCATGGCACTGCGCATAGCGGGGCCGGGCTGCGTGACGGTGTCGCTGCGCAGATCCACCACGTGCTGCGGGCGCCTGCGGGGACAGCGAGCGAAGGGGTGGTCCGTGCTGCTGGGGAGGGGCTGCCCACCCCTGACCCCCTTTTCCCCCCCCCCCCCCCCCCCGCGCCCGAACCGACCCCCACCCCCCCCTCCTCCGGCCCCGGGAACAGCACCCCCCCCCCCGAGTGGGGCCCGGCCGCGACCTCCGCACGCACCCAAGCGCCGCTCCGCCCCGCAGCGACCCCGCGCCGCCCCCGGTCCCGCCGTCCCCCGCCATGGCCGCGCCGCCGCGGCGGGACCCCGCTCCGTGCAACAGCGCCCGGCGGAGCGCAGCCCCCACGCCCCGCGCCGCCAGCATCGCCGGGACCGCCGGGACCGCCCCGCCGCAAGGGCTCCCGGGGCACGTAGTCCACTCCGGGATCGGGCCCGGCTCCGCTGCCCGCGGCCGTGCTCTCCCCCCGGCGGGGCCGCGGCGTGGCAGCACACCGAGCCCGCGGCGGGGTCCCCGTCCCAGCGCTCCCGTGGGCGCTGCCGAGTGCAGCCGGTCGCCCCGCTGCTGCCGCTCGGGACCCCGAAAGGACCCCGGGGCACCCGCCCGCAGCACCCTCCCCAGCCCACGCCTCTGTGCCGGGGGCAGGCTGGGGCTGAGGGCAGGCACCGTTCGGTGCAATGTGCTCAGCGTGCCCCGGCCCCGCTGGCAGATCCCGGGGAGCACAGGGCTGCCAGCCCCTGGCCGGCCACGTGCTGCGGCTCTGCGCGCACATGGAACTGCGCGTTCAATGGCGATGGCTGCTGCTGCGCTGCTGACGGGAAAGGCACGGAGTGACCTTTGCTGATGGGAATCGGCTCCAGCTTCTGGCTGCATCTGCCCTGCAAACAGCTGACATGCGGTCCTGTGGCACTGCCGGGTGCTCGCGGCTTGGGGCCGTGCTGGTGTCAGCTGTGGGCAGTGCTGCGATGCTCAGCACTTTTTCCTGGCACCGAGAAGGGGGATCCGTGGGCATCTGGCTGCTGGCATCAACCCATGTGGTGCACAATGGAGCACGTGCACAGAATGGCAGTGAGACCCCCGCCTCATCCCATCGGGCAGGAGGCCACACATGGGATGCTGTGCAGGACAGAGCCGTCCTTCAGGGAGCACCCTGTAGCACTCAGCAGCTTCCAGCCAGCGCTGGGGGTTGGGTGCAGGTGTCCATCCCTCCCCTTGCACCTCCCTGTGCCATGTCCCCAGTGCACTGCCCGTGCTGCCGCTGCCCTTTTCCTTCATCGCCCGACTCCAGGCCCTGCATTGGAGCCCCCACAGCCCCCGGCTCAGTGCAGCTGTCACCCTGCCGATGAGTGAGCCATAAACAGTCCTTCACGGAGACGTTTTTCACACACAGGGCCACATGTTAACAGTTTTTCTTTATTTACTGCCTCCATTTCCTCTTTGTTCCAGGAACTTGTCCTCCAACTTCAAGCCGCTCATGATTAGGCAAAAAGGCCTCTAATCTCCCCGATCTGATTTACCGTCACTGAGAGCAGGCGCTTCCCGTTACTGGCCCTGGACCTGGGAGCAGGGCCGGCCGCACTCTGCCGGCTCCCCGCGCCTCTCCTCCCCGAGGCTCCCCTGCTGCACACGCTGCCTTCCCAGCAGCTTCCTCTTCCAGTAAGCGTGGGGCAGCCTGGGGCTGGGGAGTGCAGCCGTGGCTGTGGGCAGGGGACCGCATCGCGCCCTGCTGCTGCTCCTGGCACATGGCAGCTCCATGGCAGCCGCTGTGTGGCGAGGCTCCTCGGCAATGCCCGTGTCCCACGAGCTCCTGGGGCTCTGCTTGTGGTGCTCTGTGGCCCTGGGTACCTGGAGACCCTGGGCGGTGGGCTCATGGCCACATATGGGGATGAGCCGAGGCCGCAGGTACACGTGCAGCATGGGGACCACTGGTGCCTGGCGGGTGGCCAGGGGGCTCGGTGGGAATGGGCCGTGAGTGACTCCCACCTGGCAGCCCTGTCCCCACAGCTCCCAGCCCCGCTGAGCATGTGGCCGCTGCGGGCTGAGCTCACGCTACTAAGGTGCCTCCCCGAGGCTAAAATTAGTTGCTGAGCCCTGGCTGAGGAACGGAGCCCGCATCCCGCTGGGGAGGATCGGGTTTCCCTACGCCTCCCCCTGCCACGGGAGCTGGCAGCCGCCGGGGCGATTCCCGGAGCCGGGCCGGGCTCCCCCCTGCCTCCGGCCCCACAGGCAGCTCCAGGCGCAGCCGGGTCTCGGCGCCGTGCCTATGCCCACGGCGGTGCTGTCCCGGCCCCTTCCCGCCCCAGCTCTGGGAGGTAGGGGTCTGGGGGCCACAGCTTCGGCACGTCGTCCCCCCCAGCAGGTCTCTGAGGTGGGGGCTCCCCATTTGCTGCCCTGCTCTAACTGAGGCTCTTAGCACTGTGGCTGAGGATGGGTCCCACAGTGGGGCCGCTGTGGGGTTTGGGTGGCGTGAGGCTCTGGTTTGGGACTGGCGCTGCTGCAGCTATGCAAGCTGTGGGATGTGCTATGCAGGGCTGCAGGGTGCTGGGCAAGGAGGGCTGGCCGCAGAGCCTGGCAGGGACTGGAGCCCCGGCCATGTGCTCAGAGTGTTTTCCTCCGGTGCTGCCTTGGCCCCGTGGCCTCGCCGTGTGCTCTGCGGGGTGTGATAACTCATCCCGTGTGCTGGAGCCCGCCGGCCTGGAGGGCCCTGCTTGGATCTGGTGGGCAGGGAAAGCACAAGTATCAATCATTCCCAAGCTGTGGGAACCGTGGAGCCAAGTGATTTCCTACTGTCGGGAACTGCAGAGCGATGCCTGGAAGCGCTGGGACGTGCTGGGCTCCTGGCTTAGCCAGCCTCGGGACAGCCAGGCCTCGGGCATGCAGTGCTGCACCGTGCTGCACTGTGCCGAGTGGTGCCGTGCTGTACTGTACCGTGCCATCTGCTGCTGTGCCATCTGCTGCTGTGCCATGTGGTGCTGTGTGATGCCGTGCTGTGCCACGCTGTGCCATGTGATGCTGTGCCATATGGTGCCGTGCCATGTAGTGCTGCGCTGCCACCTGTGCCACGTCGGTTCAAGCTCTTTGGGGCACTCCAGCAGCTGCTTACACCTGCAGCACCCAACGAACCAGAACCCAGAGCCAACCTGGCGCTGGGGGAGCTCCCGGCAGCGCCCATCCCATCCCGGCATAGCGCGACCGTTCGTCACCAGCGCTCTCCCCCAGGGCAACGCTGCCGTGCCGAGGCCGGTTCCTCCCGGCGGAACGGTCCCAGGGCTGGGCTGGGGCAGCCCCGAGCCGCTGCGGACGGGGAGCCGGGCCCGGCGGGGGCTGCGCGGGAGGGGCCCGGGGGGGCTCCGGCGATGCCTCGTTCGGCCGCCCGCCGGACTGCAGCCGCCCCGCGCCGGGCGCCCCATCCAACCTGCCGGCCGCGGGGCCGCCCGGTGACCCCTCCCTCCGCCGGCAACAACTTTTCCAGTAAAACCACTGCAGAAATCCCGGCTTCCCGACAGGCCCGCCCCTTGGCTGCCTTGGGGGGGTGGGGGCCGCGCTGCGCTTAACCCTTCCCAGGCGGGCGCAGGTGGGAGCGCGGCGGGCGGCGGGCGGGGGGCCCGGACCGGGCGCAGCCCCTGCAGCGAGCGGGGAGCTCCGAAGCAGCTCCGGTGCCCTCCGGTTCCAGCCGCGGGGTGTTGGGGAAGAAGAGACAGCGGTGTCACCGCGGGAGGAGCGCACGGGCCCGGTTCTGGGGAGAACTTCGAGTCCCATCCGAGGGTTCACGGGGAGCGGAGGGATGGCAGTGCCCGCGCGGGTGATGCGGCTGTGCGCTGGGATCCCTGCACGTGGATCCCGGTCGGCCTTGCACCGCTATGTTTGCACTGCGATGTGTTTCCCTTCCCAAAGTGTTGCTGACGCTGCTGGAGGAGGGATTCAGCCCCACACACGGCATCAGGAGCCGGGCGTGGGCTGGGAGGGATGCCCGAGTCCGAGGGGACCCGAGCACGGCCCCATCCTGCGGGATGCAGGGCACCCAGCGCTCCCCAGCGCTTCTTTCTGGGGTGCAGCCTGAACCCTGAGGGCTGCATCAGCCACCACTGTGGTTCGGGAGGTGTGGAGCAGCTGAGTGAAGATGGGGAGAAGAGCCCACTGCAAGGTGGGCACAAGGTGCTGTCTCAGTCCTGGAGGAGAGGATGCAGTGGGAATTGTCAGCACGTGAATGGATTTGGGACGTGTCTTGTGGTGATGAGCAGTGCGGGCAGCATCAATTCCCATCACACCTGATCCCTGCTGCTGGGAGTGGCGGACAAGTGTGAGCAGTGTGGATGGGCAGGCAGGCAGCCTGGCTGGCACCAGCCTCAGCCCCAGTGTCCTGGGCAGCTTCTCCAGCTGAGGGTCTTGGCTGGGCAGGGCACCCAAGGAAGCAGGGTGCTGTGTGGGGCTCAGTGGTGCTGGCTGCCTGTTGTGCCCTGCCTGCTACCAGCCCCAGCCCCACGCTGGCTGCTGTGCCAGCCCCGCCAGGGCTGAGGTAAGTGCTGTAATTGTTTTCTCTGTGGCCCAAGATGAATAATTGAGAGGTCTTTGAGGAGAATTAATTAGCCCGTTTATTGGCAGTAAATGCTTTTCTCCAGATGATGAAATAGATCCTGCGCCACACATGGGGCAAGCGGATGCAGGCTGCTGAGGCTGCTCAGCAGAGTGCTGGTGCCAGGGCTGTGGGATGGCCGTGCTGCTGCCCTGTCCCTGCCCCAGGACAGTGGTGGTACCCGTGCTTCCTCACACAGCCTCATGCAGACCCTTGTGCCTGGTGCCTGCTGTGCTCTGTGCGGGGACACCAAGGGGCAGGAGGCTCTGCCTGGAAGCTCCATCCGTGCTGTTCTGCACCAGAGACCGGAGACAAAGTGCAATGAGCCACAAGGGTGCAGAGGAAAGGAGCCGTGTGCTGTGCCCCCGTGGCTTGCGCTGCCTCCAACCCTCCAGGGGCTCCCACTCTGCACAGCCCATGCTGTGTTCCCTGCTGCCTCCTTCCTTGTGGCTGCCCCAGGCTGTGCCAGCTGGGCCCGAGGCTTGCATCTCCTCCACCTCTTCTCTCCCCGGGGTGTGAGGGGAAGGGCCATGCATGGCCAGAAATGCTTAAACAAGGATTTCCTTGTTGCTGCATGAGCTGTTTGCCTTGCTCCCAGGCCAGCCGTTAATGAGGTTTGGCAGGAGGCACTGGCAGCCCCAGCCATCGGATTTCTATAAATCAACCTGGTGCTAATGCACGGGGCTGGCTGGGGCTGCTCAGCCTCAGGGCACGGGTTTGCAGCCCATGGGCTGGTGGGTGCTGCCTGCTGGGAGGGGACCCGTGCACAGCCTATGGGGCCAAGGCTGCTCTG